GGGGCAACAGAGTGAGATTCTGTCACACACACACACACACACACACACACACACACACACACACACAGTACTTGTAAAACACAAATTATTTTGCTTCGCTGTCGCAGTGCTTAGAGTGCAGCTCTAAGGAAGGGTTGTGGAAGGAGAATCCACAGAGTCTGCTGACTGGTTAACACAGAGTGCAGGAGAGAAAGGAGTCCAGGGCGACTGAGGAAGTGGTGATAGCAACATACGCAGCAGGCTATCTAGGCTGTGGCACTTTTTCAGTAATCAAAGGTGTTTACACTAAAAGAACAAGAGCACCACTGCTTCGTGTACCGAGTCAGTGCTGAGCAGTGGTTTAAAGCTCGGACCCAGGAGCCGGCTACGCGGGTGAGAAGCTTGGCGCCACTACTGCTTGTCTGTGTGGCCCTGGACAAGGCACGTTTCTGTGACTCAGGGTTCTCATTTGTAAAATAAGAATAATTGTTGTGAGGATTAGACCAATTAATATATATATATATATATATATATATATATATATATATATAATGCTTTTAGAATACTCTATAAATATTATCTATTATTTTATTCAAAAAATTTAAAAATTGTATTCCATCAGAACTGTTGGTGGTTTTATTATTTCTAAGCAAAGATTTAAGTCTCTCATGCTCTAGACCAGTGCTGTCCAGTAGAATATAATTTGACTAAATAAGGAATTGAAAATTTTCTAGTAGCCACATCAAAAAGGTAATGAGGAACAGGTGAAATTAATTTTAATAGTGTATTTTATTTAATGCAATAATTCACAGATATTATCAGTTCAACATGTAATCACTATAACAATTATTGATGAGATATTTTACATTGTTTGTTTCTGGTTGTTAATCTTATTAATAGAAATATGGGATGTATTTTATACTTCCTGCTTATTTTTCTGAGTCAATAGCCAAACGTATCTAGAGGCTCCTGTATAGGATTGCGCAGCTTTAGAGTTTTGCTAGTTAAAGGCTTCCTTGCTTCAGAAGTCCTCCCGTTATCTATTGCTGTGAAACAAGCCAACCCCAAATTTAGTAGATTAGAACAATGGTTTATTATTTCTCATGATTCTTACCCAGCTCATACAGACTAGATTGGTTGGTGATTCTTGCTTAAATCAGTTACTACTGTGATAGCTGTGAAATTTTCAAATTCGATGATTCCTTCTACTTTTAGTAGTTGGAATTCTATGGTAAAGAACTTATTCTTCTTCCTCATTTAGTCATTTATTTAATTATATAGCAGCATGAGCTCATAGAGTCTTGTTTTATTCGGTAGGTTTTAACCTGTTATCTATTTTAATGTTCGAGTTGTCTGACCTTAATATTTTTATTTATTTATTTATTTTGAGAGACAGAGAGAGAGAGAAAGAAAGAGAGAGAGAGAGGGTCTCACTCTTACTTAACCTGGTCTCGAACTCCTGAGCTCAAGCAATCTTCCCACCTTGGCCTTTCAGAGTGCTAGGATTACAGGTGTGAGCCACCATGCCAGGCCAACCATAATATTGTTAATTGAGAAAACATTCTCTTTACATGTGCTGAGGTACTTGGTAAGATCAGAGCAAATTTTGTTATATAGACAATATTATCAATTCCATTTTTTCTCCCCATATTGAAATGTTTAAATGCTTCAGACTAAATATTTTACAGAATCTGCCTTTTTGCTTGGCGAGCCCCATGCCTCTCTTCAACAAATATTTTTACAAGACAGAATTTGCCAAGTAAATTGTCTCTACTTAAGGATCTTTTGAAAGTTTCACCAAGTTTAGTTGTTGCCATATCCTAAGGCTTTTTAATTTCATTTCAGTTTAGGATAGAATATGTGTCTATCCCATTAAGAGTGAGAAACAGAAGTTTCTTCCCACAAGTTAAGATGTTCCCAAAGCACAACTAGGTATATATTTAAAGGGTGTGAAATCAGTATGTTGAAGAGAGATCTGCATTCTCATGTTCACTGAAGCATTATTCACAACAGCCAAGGTACGGAATCAACCCGAGTGTTCATCAGCGGATAAATGGATGAAAAAATAGAGTGTATACACAATAGGATACTATTTATCTAGCCTTAAAAAAGGAGATCCTTTTATTTGTGACAACATAGATGAACCGCTAGGGCATTATATTAAGTGAAATAAGCCAGTTATAAGAAGACAAATACCACATGATCTCACTTATATGTGGAATGTAAAAAAGATGAACTTACAGAAACACAGTAAAATTGTCATTACCAGAGGGCGGAGGTAAGGGAATTGGGAAGATGTTGGTCAAAGGACATAAAATTTCAGTTAGGAGGAATAATTTTAAGAGGTCTATTGTACATCAGGGTGACTACAGTTATTAATAACAATATACAGTATACTTGAATAACAATATACAGTATACTAAGAACAATATATAGTATACTGTATACTATAAGTATACAGTACTGTATAAGTATGCTGTATACTTATAGTATACAGTATACTATAAGTATACAATATACAGTATACTTAACATAATATACATAATATACAGTATACTTAACAATATACAGTATACTTGCTAAGAGAGTAGATTTTAAGTGTTCTCCTTACAAATAAATGATAAGTATGTGAGGTAATGCATATGTTAAATAGCTTGATTTAGGCATTCCACAAGATACATATATTAAAACATCATGTTGTACACCATAAATATATACAATTTTTACTTGTCAACTGAAAAAAAAAAAGAATAAAATATTTTCAAAGTTAAATCATGTGCAAATTAAACTCATTCCATAATAACATATTGCTAACCCAAAAAGGATCCAAGACAAATGCTAAATCAGGGTTCTGGGATGACAGTGTCACCTGGGACAATCCTGGCAAGGGCCCAACTTGTCCAAAAAGCCTTTCTTGGTCTGGCCCAGCCTCATCTCTGTGACTGTGTCCTCACCTGTGATCTTTGCTCACCCAGCTCTTTGCTGTAGTGGACTCCCATTGGCCTCTCCTGCTTTTGCACTTGCTGCTCCTCTTCTTTTTCACCTGGCTAATTTGTCCTCATACTACAATCTCAGACACTGGCAGCATTTTCTCTGGGTGCTTTCCCTGCCAAGTGCTCCTTATCCTACCTCTATTGTAGCCCTTCCATGTTGAACTACATTTATCTGTTCAATTCTTCTTCCTTCTTCACCTTTCAAAATACTTTTCGTCTAATGTCCTATTGTTTGAGAGTCCTCCTTTTTGCTTCCCATGGTGACAGTTGTTGAATGCAGTGATCTGTGCTAGGTGATAAGTGATGGTGATGAATCATTTGTCGGCTCCTAAAAACATACTTGTATTTCAGTGAGGCCCCCTAGGGTGGTGGTCTTTGAAGTGGGTGTGCACATGCCCGGGAGTGTGCAAGACCATTTATATGGGTGAAGGTAGAATATGTATTAACTTTCATTTCTATTATTTTATTGAGAAAAACTAAGCAATTAAGGTTTTCTAATATTTAATCCTTTGATTGAGAAAGTGCACGTATATAGCTTTATAAATCTACTTCTATATTGGTTATGCGTACTAAATGTTTTTGTTGGTGGAGTTTTCCATTATAAAAATTTGAAGACCGTTGTCGTAGGGGAATGTTCACGTCCCCCATGGATAACTCCTCAAGCTCTCTGACACTATAGTGGCTAACATATATCAAGTGTTTCCTATATGTTGGGCACTGTCCTACATACTGTATAGGCATCAATATATTTATTCCTCACAACCTCCTTAAGAGATTGGTATGATTGTTTGCATCCTCATTTTATGGATGAAAAAAGTGAGCTAGAGAATCAGGTAACCTGTTTAAGGAAAGGTCTAGTACGTGGCAAACTCATAACAGAACCTCTGTGGTCTGATTCCAGAGGCCACTTGCGTAACCCTGCTGCTCTGTACTGTCCCATGCTCTGGTGCCTGTCTGCTCCTGTGTGTAGACCTATGTTATTTTCAGGAGGAGAGGGACCATGTCTGTCTCGTTCATTATGACACTCTTAAAAATATTATTATTATTATTTTTGAGACAGTCTCACTCTGTTGCCTGGGTTAGAGTGCCATCGCATCACCCTAGCTCACAGCAACCTCAAACTCCTGGGCTCAAGCAATCCTCCTGCCTCAGCCTCTCGAGTAGCTGAGACTACAGGCATCAGCCACCATGTCTGGCTAATTTTTTCTATATATTTTTAGTTGGCCAATTAATTTCTTTCTATTTTTAGTAGAGTCGGGGTCTCGCTCTTGCTCAGGCTAGTTTTGAACTCCTGACCTTGAGCGATCTGCCCACCTCGGCCTCCAAGAGTGCTAGGATTATAAGCATGAGCCCCCTTGCCCAGCCTAAAAAATAATTTTTAAGGGAATGAGGAATTGAGGGCCTGTTGTTACCTCTGATGGGAACTTCGAAACATTGTTTTATTTTTAACTTGAAACCATTTTTCCCTTGAAATGCATGGATCTGATGAAAAATTGGTGTGAGTTAAAATTAGCAATTCTATGTTTAGAAACACTACATGAAAAAAAGTCTGCATCACCCCAATACTCATGAGTCAGTTATGAGTCCCAGCTCACCCCTGACATGGCTAATGCCTTCCTTTTCTTCCTTTATCATGAGGCTATGAGAACATAAGAAATAAATCTCAGGTTATTTCTGTGTACTGTATGAAATATCTCTCAAGCATGTATAACCTTAAAATAGCAACAGCAGCAGCAGCAGTAATGATAACAAGAATGATAATGGCAAAGAGAAGCAGAACTTACTGTTTTTTTTGGTTCACCCACTGATACCCTTTTAATCCTGATTCTTAATTGTTTGGTACAAAGATATGTATTAATAATAAATTTTCAGGTGTTCTGGCCATTAATAAAACTATTTTGGTTTGACCAAATAAGTTTATGATTCCATCTACACCTTGAAGAACATTAGGAAAGTTTTATAGGTTCTGTATTACAATATCATATTCAAATTATGACAACTCTGTTTTCTTCCTTGTTTTCCTTTTAGGCTCTTTCAAGACACTTATTCTTCCATCAGTAAGTATCCATTTAAAAAATTTGCAAATGAAATACATATCATCAGTGAATTAAATAAATTCAGATTTTGTTGGCCTTTATATTGATTTACATGTCTTGTGAGTTTGGCTTGAGTTTAGCTCAGCCTTCAGATTATTAATAATATTGCCTAAGGGAGATTGATTATTAATTAGGCTCTTCAGACTCGTAGCAGGGATTTTCCTCTTGTAAACTAGAGAACTTCACTGGGGTAAAAATGCCTGGACAATCAGCGCAGAAACCTAGGCTGGTTTAGTTCTGTTTCTGCCTTAATGAGTCTTACAGTCTTGAGTGTAGAATTAACACTCTGTTCCTCAGTTTCTTTGTCCTCGGAAAGGGCAGTGACATGCTGAGCCACATTGGAACCTGAGGTAGAAGGAAAAATCTGGAATACTGATCTTGTCTTGGTTTAAAACTTTGACTTTTTTTGGTTCATAAGTTTTTGCATTAATTATATTTTAAAATATTGTATTACAATATTATTTTCTTGATTAATGAGTTTTTTGGTGCCCCCTTAAATTTTGCCTCTGAGACAATTGTCTAACTCACTTTGCCCTGGCCCTGGCTCTGGAAGAGAGAATAAAGGATACCATCTCTGTCTCATAGGGACACCCTGGAGTGAAATGAGATGTGAAAGTCTTGTAAAATTTGCTATAGAAATGGAACGGTGTTATTACTTTGTTGAGAGATTCATAAAACCTGATTATTAAATGCTGTTTGTGAACTAATCTTACTTCCCATGGCTTTGACTTAGAATTTTGTACTTTTATTACCATGCTTTGTTTTGGAGCTTTGCCTGTTTAATGTGCAATATTGTAAACCACAGCATCCAACAAGAGTTGCAATTTGTTATTCTTTTCTGAGAGCAGATGACTATCAAGCACATTCAGAAACCACATGCATTTTGGGGAATTCCTAGAGCATACTGTACTCCCAAACAGCACTTTATAAAAATTACTTAACATGCTGTGGCTTATTTTGTTTCTTATGTATTTATTATGTTTGTACTTTCCTTCCCAAGAAATTTATTGCTGCTAACAGTAGAAAGTGGAGTTCTTCTGGGAAAAAGTTTAAAGAAAAAAAAAAATAGAAAATGGAGGGAAAAAAGGCATAAGCAGGCAGAAGTGGGGAAAAACCTTATAATCTTTATGACAATAAAACTTTAGATTGCATTAATATAACCTAAAACAGGAGATGCTGGCCCCAGTGCCTGCGTGCATACCTGTTGAAAGGGTGTTCCATTGGTTAAGATTAAAATAAATCCTGTGTAATATAATTGCCCTATAGCAGAAGGAGGATGGGATTTAAGTTCAGGAATCATAGCTTAAAGCATAGTAACTGTCTGGTTTCCTCAAAGGATTTTGCAATTTCACAGACCAGAAGTGTAGAAAAGCTGAGAGAAGGCCAGGTCTAGGGCAAAAGAACTCCTTCTAATAATATTGGTATGAAACTCTACTGGTCTGATCTATCATCAGTTGGACATCTGGCTACTGTAATTCTCTTAAGTATATGAAATACTAACTCTGACATCTGATATTTGCCTTTAGTATTAATATTATGGCATTCCTGTTATATGTAGATATAGCATATATATTGAAAGCTTTGCTAAAGATTATTTTTAAGAGTATATCCCTTTTTAGTAAAGCACAGTTTTAAAGACTTAGTCATAAAGTCTCTGGGCAGATTTCATATGCTTGGCAAAAATAGAAGGTTCTGCATTTTTATGGATTTTAAAGGAGAACCATTTTTTTTTAACATAACCTCAAGATTTTATCGTCTTCATATTAAAACAAAAGACGCATAGAATTGGATCACTTGGCCTTTTCTCTTCTTATTTCTTCCCAGTTCAAAGTGCTTGCGTCTCTTAATAGCCAGCATTCTCTTAGATCCGCAGTTGGGCTTGACACATTGAAGCCTCAGCACAATCTTCTTTGTAGTTTTAGCTTTTTTCCGGAAAATCAGCTTAGCCTGCCCACCATAGTCACTCTGCTTCCTGTCATAATGCCGCTTTCCCTGGGCATACAGAGAATCCTTGCCCTTCCTGTACTGTGTCACTTTGTGGGGTTTATGCTTGCCACATTTCTTACAGAAAGTCCTGCAGGTTTTAGAATGTTCACCATGTTTGTGTGAGCATTCTTGACAATGAGAAAAAGGAGAACCAACTTTTAAAGTGCACTTGCATTCTGATATTTGTAAATGTAGTATCTTAAATTACTTTTAATATTTTCATGACTTTTTACTGGAAAATGTGAAAATTTTAAGGCTGCATTAAAATAAATGCCTTTAATACCTGATTTACTCACTGTTTTTACTTCGAGACACTAATATAGCAGGCAATAAGAAGTAAATAAAATCATAACTGATGCTTAATATAAAGATTATTTTTTGTACAAAATATGGTAGGAAAATTTATTTTATTCTCTTTGCAAACCAATCCAACTTAAAACGAGGGGGTGGTCATTATTTAATTAGAAATGTTTTTAGGCCGGGCGTAGTGGCTCACGCCTGTAATCCTAGCACTCCGGGAGGCCGAGGCGGGAGGATTGTGCAAGGTCAGGAGTTCGAAACCAGCCTGAGCAAGAGCGAGACCCCGTCTCTACTAAAAATAGAAAGAAATTAATTGGCCAACCAAAAGTATATAGAAAAATTAGCCGGGCATGGTGGCACATGCCTGTAGTCTCAGCTACTCGAGAGGCTGAGGCAGGAGGATTGCTTGAGCCCAGGAGTTTGAGGTTGCTGTGAGCTAGGCTGACGCCACGGCATTCGCATTCTAGCCTAGGCAACAGAGTGAGACTTTGTCTCAAAAAATAAATAAAGAAAAAAAGAAATGTTTTTAAAGTTTAAGTACTAATGTATTTTTAATAGAGCCTATCATCTTAAATTTCTCCATTTTATTTTGAAAATTTGTCTTTTAGTAACTGGCATTATTCATGAAGTATATGAGGATTAATACTATTGTGTTATTTCATTTTCCTTAAAGTAATGAAACTTTCAGAGAGGGTGAAATGGCTTTAAATGGCCCAGATTAGAGTAAGTAATCCTTATTTATCATCCAGCAAGGATCTTTTTGAACATGCCTTCCTTGTGTACCCTGGGCAGAGAGCTCTCTTCTACTCGGACAGTTTGCATTTATGTATACTCAAAATAGACTTAGCATAATTGAAAGTCAACATGCCCAACGCAGCTGATTGGTGTTTTGGTGATCAAAGCCCCTCGATACTGTCGACTCCTGGACTCTTGTCCTGCTGCTGGACAGTCTCCAACTATGGGAACTGCACTTTCCCTTCGAACTGCTCTGTGCCTTCAGGCCAAGGAGTAGGAGTCCAGAATCTCTCTGGATAAATAATTACTTCCTATATAAGAGACATGGAAGTCACTTATCAGGGAACCATTGTATTTATTACCAATTCTGGGAACCCTTTCCAGTAACTGTGGACCCACGAAGTTGAAGGCAGTTGACCAGCAGAGATGCAGGAGCTTCTGTTACCTCCTGGCGTCCACTCTGCTGTGGCAAGCAGGTTATAACCCATTCCAGGTCTGGCACAGGGAGAGAAAATTTCAAAAAGGTGGCTTAAAATCCACAACCTTTTCTCCAGTCTCCCTCTCATTACGGGTCCCCACTGTTAACAAGGGAGCAGGAGGGCTGTACTGACACCTCAGGACTCTGGAGCGCCACCTAGAGGCATGTAGTGAGGCCTTGTGCTTATATCGTCATCTCTGATTTTCTTGTACTGGGATTAGCACTGAGTCTTTGAGGATCCCAGATTACCTAGTTTTACATGTGGGGAGGTGGGGTTTATAACGGGGGAAAGCTGAAAAAGCAAATTAGTTAAGGTAACCCAAAGGAGCAGAAAGACAATAACATCTCCTCTTGAGTCACTGTCAGCTCCCTGAAGGAGGATGGAGTAGGAGATAGACTAAAATGCTTTTGGTGTTAACACATAGGTGTTAATTCTAACTCTCTGACTAGGTGGCCTCCTTGTGGTTAGTAGGCCTGTTTAGCTTCAGGCCTCTGCTTCATTTCATTTGACATCAGTCTTCAATCTACCATCTGTTCTGGGGCCTCTATGCCTCTAAAAATGATCAAACTATATCCAAATCATAAACAGCAATTCCATCCACTATCGTATTTTAAAACAGGAAATATTTATAATTCTATGCAATTTATCAGCTTATGATATGCTTTTTCCTGGCATATGTATTTTCTTGCTTGGAGCATGAAGGAATCTGATTAAAAGAATCTGAGGACTGAAGTATCACTTGAGAAAATAAAATGTAAGAATGCAGATTCCAAGCTAGACTCTCAGTTCCACTATGGCATGGTCTTTGGTTCATGTTATATCCCAACTACCTGGGACAACCTGCTACCTAGAAGGTGCTCAATAAATATTTATTTATCAAAGAGAAGCAAAAATTGATACCACAGGTCATTCAAAGGTGACATACTGAATATTTTCCTAACATTTTATTATTAAAATTTCAAATATACACAAAACTTGAAAAATTTCATAGTAAACACTCCTATACCCACTATTTAGGGCCTATCATTAACATTTTACTAGACTTGCTCTACCATACATTTTTCCATCTACCCACCTTTCTACCTAATCATTCATTCATCTTATTTATTTATTTACTTATTTTTTTTTTTGAGACAGAGTCTCACTTTGTTGCCCAGGCTAGAGTGAGTGCCGTGGCGTCAGCCTAGCTCACAGCAACCTCAAACTCCTGGGCTCAAGCAATCCTCCTGCCTCAGCCTTCCAAGTAGCTAGGACTACAGGCATGCACCACCATGCCTGGCTAATTTTTTGTATATATATTTTTAGTTGGTCAATTAATTTCTTTCTATTTTTAGTAGAGATAGGGTCTCGCTCAGGCTGGTTTGGAACTCCTGACCTCGAGCAATCCTCTCGCCTCGGCCTCCCAGAGTGCTAGGATTACAGGCGTGAGCCACCGCGCCCGGCCAGGACCTCAGTTTTAATATGGAAATCAACTAAAAGTCAGGCATGCTAGTTATCTATTGCTGAGTGACCTTCAAATTTTGGCTTAAAACAACAACTTTTATTTTTATTAAAAATATTTTTTAAAATAAATTATTTTAAAATTTTAAATTAATTTTAATTATTTTAAAAATAATTTTTATTAAAAAATTTATTAAACTTTTATTACTTCTTAAATTTTGTGGGTGAAGAATTTGGGAATAACGTAGTTGGGCATTTCTGATTTGGGGTCTCACCAGCTTGCAATCCAGATGTCATCAGGGCTGCAGCCATCTGAAGGCTTCCCCAGGGCTGGGGATCCTCTGTGAGGCAGAGCACCCACTTGGCTGGCAAGTTGGTGGTGGTGGCTGGTGGGAGGCCTCATTTGGCCTTCTCTAGTGTCCTCATCACATGACAGCTGCCTTACCCTGGAGTGAGTAATCCAAGAGAGAAAGAGAGAGAACCAGACAGAAGCTATTCTTTTTATGATATAGTCTCATTTGTAGGCTTTAGGAGTAAGTCACTAAATATGGGGAATTAGGCTCCACCTTCTGAAGGGGGAAGGTCAGAGAGTTTTTCCATACATTTTAAAATCACCACATCAAGGTTCTTCTTAGAGTAGTAGAGCCCATATTGGGTTTGAATCTCATCTAGTGACTTGGAGTAACTCCCTTAACTCCTCTAAGCCCCAGTTTCCTTGTTTGTGAAGTGTTTTTTTTTTGTTGTTATTGTTTTTTCTTTCACCTAACCTAGACAATGTGAAGTGGTTTTAGTGAGAGCATCCACCTGAGGGATTGTTGAGGTAAAATGATATAGGGCATGCAAACCGCTTGGCATGGTGGGAGTGGAAAACAAGCACAGGCTCAAAGTGCTCTTTCCTGTTCTCTTACTCATCACAGCAGTCAACACAGAAGACTTCTAGTACCAACTGTAGGGGGGTTTCCCCACCAGCAAGCAGCGGTCATTTCTCCAGTGGACACCAGCTGGCTGTCCTCCAATTCAATTCTGACACTTTCTGGAGATGGCATCAGACCACACAGCCTGAGGGCTCAGTCCCCAGTACTGCCCCCCACTTCCCACCTGTTGCAAGTCTGGTCCCCTGGAACTTCTGACTGACCCGCTTCAAGTTGAAGTTCCTACAGCGTCCTCTTTGAGTTTGATTAATTTGCTAGAGTGGCTCACAGAACTCAGGGAAACACACTTATTGGTTTATTATAAAGGACATTACAAAGGACACAGATGAAGGGATGCAGAGGGCAAGGTGTGGGGGAAGCGCACGGAGCTTCCACGCCCTCCCCGGGTGTGCCACCCTCTGGGAACCTCCAGCTGGTCAGCTATCTGGAAGCTCCCTGAACCCTGTATTTTGTGCCTTTTGTGGAGACTTCACTGGTTGTCCCTGTTTGAAGCATGGATGACAGTGTCGAAATGTGATTGGACAAAAAAGGTATGATCTAAAGTCAAGGCCTGTCTATGCAGACCCTTCTTGGCCTCTGTTGTGTAGTATTCCTTCCTCTAGGGTTAAGAGGCAGGCCCCTATCTGGAAGAGAGTCTTATGATCCACAATCAGATTAGAGTCCTGCCTTGGGCAGGTGAAAGGACATCAGGAGAAGGTCAGAGAGAGAGAGAGTGGAAGAGAGATTCTGTTTTCTGAGGCCTAAAGCATCCTGACATTATAACAGAAGACTGTAACAAGGGCTCTAGGAGTTATGACTCAGGAATCTTGGATGAAAACTATCTATCAATCTATCTATAATCTCATAATATCTCATAAGGTCTGCTAATGGCGGAATGTAGCATTTCTGTTACTAATAGTAGTAAAAGTAGCAGCACCACCATTCTTTTCTTTTTCTTTTTTTTTTGAGACAGAGCCTCCCTCTCTTGCCCAGGCTAGAGTGCCATGGCGTCAGCCTAGCTCACAGCAACCTCAAACTCCTGGGCTCAAGCAAACCTGCTGCCTCAGCCTCCCGAGTAGCTGGGACTACAGGCATGCGCCATCATGCCCGGCTAAATTTTTTCTATATATATATTTAGTTGGCCAATGAATTTCTTTCTATTTTTAGTAGAGACGGGGGTCTCACTCTTGCTCAGGCTGGTTTCGAACTCCTGGCCTTGAGCGATCCACCCACCTCAGCCTCCCAGAGTGTTAGGATTACAGGTGTGAGCCACCGCGCCTGGCCAGCACCACCATTTTACCAAGACTATGATACACCACGAGCAAGAGGCAGGAAGGGAACGCATCTTGGGAAAGAGTTTGAGCGAATGTAGCAAGAAAACAAATCTGGGCAAATGGGTCTCTCACCAGGTGACTGCCTCAAATAAGGTGAGAATAGAAAAGAGTGCTGAAGTACGTCAGATATTCCGACCCACAGTAACTGTCAGTGAGGACGAATTTGCACTTGGAATAGGAAATGACAAAGCGACTGCTCTTTTGAGACAGCTGTGAGGCGTGCATCCCCCCATCCAGGAGCCCTGCAATGTAATTGGGGAGCAAGCTACAGGATGTTAAGAGTGAAAACAAATTTTGGTGCCTAGGAGGGGCAAAATTTTCAACGTTGCAATTACTTTTAATAATACCGTGCATTTAAATTTTCATTCTAACTTGTCATTAAAACATTTTTGAAGTAAAATAATGAGACCTTGATGTGTGACTTTTTTCCCCCCTAGCTACCTATGAACAGTGCAGATGGGATTTATAAGCTACATGTAACTGGACGTGCCCAGGATAAGATTTTATTCTCTAATAGTACGCACTTATCATTTGAGACCAAGAGAATGTCTGTCTTCATTCAAACGGACAAGGCCCTGTACAAGCCAAAGCAAGAAGTGAAATTTCGAGTTCTTACGTTCTTCTCCGACTTCAAGCCTTACAAAACTTCTTTAAACATTCTCATTAAGGTAAGTGCCGGACAGAAAAGAAGCAAGGAGTTCAAGCCATCTTCCTAAAGCTCTCTGGGAAGTTCTGCTCCTGTTATATTGGCACTGGAATGTCTTACAGTTCGCCTAAGATAGGCTTCCCTCTCAATGTGGGCCTCCTCTGTCTAGGAAAGGCGGTGGTGCGGCACTGAGTTAAGAGCTCAGGACCTGCTTGAATTGCAGTCCTGGCTTTGAATTTGATCTATCCATTCATCAAACATTTATTGAACTTGTATGTTCCAGGCACTGAGATGAGGCAGTGAACAAAACAGATTAAGTCCCTGCTCACACTGAATTTATTTTTCATCGGATAGTGAAGAGACAGATAATAAATAAACACACGCACACACACATATATATGTAAAGGGACAGGGGTGTATGTATTTGTGTGTGTGTGAGAGAGAGAGTGTGTATTTGCTATTCTCTACAGGGTTTTCAGGGAAGACATACTTGTGCAGAGACCTAAAGGAAATGAGCCCATACAAACAGGGAGGAGCACGGGGGAAGGGGAAGGCCCTGAGGTGGGAGCTTGCTTGGTACGTTGGAAGAACAACAAGCTGGTGCCCAGGGAGTGACGGGACAAGTATGAGGAGATGAGATCAGATACAAGCAGTTGGGTTGGCGTCGGGGCTTATACGGGGTCTTTTTGGCCATGATATGGACTTTGGATTTGACGCTGAGTGAAATGAGAATTCAGTGGAGGATTCTGAGTAGAGGCATGATGTGGTCTGACTTAACATCTTAAAAGGAACACTATCAGCTCTAGGAAGAATAGATGCTCGCTGTGTGATCTTGGGGGAATTAGTTAACCTCCCTGAGTCTCAGTTTAATAATAATATCTCACAAAGTTTTTGTGAGGATTAAGTGATATGATTCAAGTAAACCATTTGGAACTGTGTCTGGCACATAGTACAGTCTCACTAACCGTTAGCTGTTATTGTTATTATTAGTAAAGGAATCTCTTTTGACAGGTAGTGGTTTGGCCGCTGCTGCTTGAACACTTGGTGATCTGGAGGTAGCATAGTTAGCAGACCCAGTAAGTACTTTCCTGTGAGAGTCAAGTAGAAGACAGTTGAGATCCAGCTGGGCCCAGTTTTCTATATATAGGGTGAGGAGAATACTAGACTTCTGATCATTACGTGGAAATAGGGTGACCAGCTTATCCCAGTTTTCCTTAGATGCTCCTGATTTTAAAACTGAAAGTCCCTGGTTTGGGGAAACCCCTTCAGTCCCAGGACATTGGTTACCCCAAATATTCTAATGAATAACACAGTGTGGAAGGCCTTCTAGTTCAGTATCTTCCTATTCTTCTTAGTTTCCTTCTTGTTATAAATTAAAACAGCAACAAGTACAACAATAGAAACCAACCAAATAGACATGTATACATATAATTTCATACATATAATTTCAAGCCAGGATATATTTGTAGCAAATATCACATTGGTTGGCATGGAGCTCATTGCATATTTCTTGAACTAGGACTATTTCAAAGTTTGCAGCTCTGTGAATTTCTGCTTTTGCTATGCACTAGAATGTTTATTTATTTATTTTTTTTTTTTTGGCTGTCTTTAGTGGGGTCATGCACTAGAATGTTTAGAATGGCATTTCTAAATTCATGTGACTCTGAGCAGGGTTAAACTGACTGCATTTATACCATCCTTCATTTATCTACATATATGGATAACTTACTATATGCCAGAAACTATGTGTAAAATAGATGATTTAGAAATAAATGTCTGCCTATCTCTGACTGTTTACATTCAATCCTTCCTTCTACGTCAAACAAATAAAAGTTAGCACTGGATAAATTGCCTGTTCCAGGCATTAACCCAGAACTAATCCTGTTGATTCTGGACAACTAGTCTGTGCATTTTTATCGTTCTGCCTCTATACTCTGATCTAATATGTGCCTTTGAAACCTTTGATTTGTAGATTCTTTGAGTTCTTCTGTCCAGTGTGACATTTGGCTTTCCTGGAAAGGCTCAGAGAGACCTTCCTCCTGTTAGCTCTGGTACTGAGGGACTCTCTGCCAGGGGAAGGGAGTGTAGACTAGAATTCCACCTGGAACCCAGAGTGTTTGGGAGCAGTGAGTGAGGGTCAGCCACCTACCCGGTCTGTATCTGGGAGATAATGGTCGCATGTGGACTCAGTGCTGGCCTCTTTCCTCCTTGTATGTCACAGAGGCCAGATGGGAGCACTGATGTGAATGTCCACACCGGTGTACTCCTCCAGCTGAAGAAGGTCATTTGGGCCAGCGTTCACTAGACTGTGACATTTTCTGCATCTTTCTGTGTGGAATAATTGGTTTCTTGGTAAAACTTCCTTGAAAGAAGTGGGACTTAGTGAAACTGGAGCCCCTGATTGGGACAAAGTTGTACTCGCTGGCATAGCACCACCTGCAGGCTGATGTGGAGAAGTGCACATGAGAGCTACATTTTGGGGGCTCATCTTGCTCAATCAAGGATGGTTGTAGGATGTAACTAAGGTATTGACTGTCACAGCGTATTCAGGGATGCTCAGTTTTTTTGGGGGGTATTATTCATTTTGCCTGTCCCAGTAACTGACCTTCTGAGGAAGGAAAGGGGCTTCAGAGGCCTTTCAGCAGCGGAAGAAACATGTGCTACCTACGCCCTAATTCTGGTCTCCTCCAGCCAGTTTGGTCTAGCATTATGGAAATAAATACCTCTGAGACTGTGATAGCAGCTGGCATGGCTGGCTTCTACCCTGACCTCTATTTTTTTTGAGACAGAGTCTCACTTTGTTGGCCAGGCTAGAGTGCGGTGGCATCAGCCTAGCTCACAGCAACCTCAAACTCCTGGGCTTAAGCAATCCTGCTGTCTCAGCCTCCTGAGTGGCTGGGACTACAGGCATGCACCACCATGCCCGGCTAATTTTTTCTATATATTTTTAGTTGGTCAATTAATTTCTTTCTGTTTTTAGTAGAGATGGGGTCTCGCTCTTGCTCAGGCTGGTCTCAAACTCCTGAGCTCAAAAGATCCGCCCGCCTCGGCCTCCCAGAGTGCTAGGATTACAGGCGTGAGCCACCGCGCCCGGCCCCGACCTCTCTTTTAAGAAGTTGTTGCTCCTGGCGCAAGTGAGTGGCCTTGTGTGGGAACAAGCATTATTGGCTTGGGAGTCCATCCTGTGACTGTGCTCTGACACTCTGGCCTGGAGCAGTGGTGGCAGACTGAGACCCTCAGCCCTGGCCGGGTGAGGGGGTACGTTTGAGTGATTCCACTTCTCTGATTCTGCATGCTGGACAGACATGTTGCTCACGCATAATCCAGGACTCCAGAAGTCGTCCTTGCAGACACATTCTCCAGCCAGGGCACTTACTGCTTGAGACAGTCTGCCACAGGTAGCACGCACTGTGCTGTGCCGAGGCATCTGACAGGGCTCCAGAGCCTCTGGGAGGTCACTCAGAGGGTCACTGTTCCAGCTTCTCTGGCACACAGCATTTCTAGCTGTGACGGGGCACCCCTCACACTGTACATGTGAATGTCCCAGCGGGATGTGACTGTGTGCAAATGCTGGGCTCGGCTGTGATGTCACCGTGCATGGTCTGTTCCAGTCTTGACGTGCTCTGTAGACTTCAGTGTTTCTGCATTCTCTGCGTCTTCCTTGTTGGTGACAGCTAGACCTAGGCCCCGGCTGGGCCTGGGAAACCAGAGGGATTATCTCATTTGCTCCCAGCCCTCCGGGTCCCCCAGGTGCAAAGTCACCAACGAGGTCAGTTCGGACTTCCTGTGTTCGAAGGGCCGTGTCACTGCCTGCCAGTAATGCGTCAGTAGAATATGGACATTCCCTTTTTCTGCACTTGAGGCAACATCAAGAATTATCATTATTTTTAAAATCTTTGTCAGTCTGACAGAAGAAAAATGGTATTACATTGTTTTCATTTGCATTCCCTTAATTACTACACACAATACATTTACCAGCCATTTGTATTTTTTCCTTTGTTCCTGAGCCTTTAAACTCTGTCACCCTCCCATGCATCAAGCTGTGGCAGGTGCAGTAGGACCAGCTGCTGATCATGGTGCCTGTCCCACGAGTTTGCCAAGGGTACAGTGACCTGCTTGTTCTTGACTTGCTTTTGGTCTCTGATTTTAACAATTAGTTTCTGACTTATTAGACTGCTTCCTATTCAATTCTCAGCACTTTGCTTGCCCCCAACTTTCATCTCCCTCCCATGGGAGAGGTTTCTGCAGAGTCACTAATGCTGGGCCAATTTACTACTTCTAGTCCAAGTTTAGAGAATAAGAATAAGGGAAAATATTCCGCCCTGCTGTCAGTTCGGTCTAGTTGGGAATAAAAAATATATATATTTTTGCAAACTAAAACATGTAAAATAAACATATTTTACTCCTTTTAACAGCAGTATCTACTCAAGAGGGGTATACACCATATGTACCAGGGGCTTTCCAGGAAGTGTCACCTCTGCCTGTTGGGGGCATGTATAGAAGGCAGGAAGCTGGACAGGAAAGGGAGGGAATTCCGTGCAGCTATTAATACTACATAGGCCTAGATGCATGGGCTGGGGATGAACTGAAAATAAATCTGTATGTTTGGAGGAAGATGAGCCTAGAAATGTGGATGGGGTCAGATTATTAAGGACCTTGTAAACTATGCAAAGGAGTGTAGACTTTCTGTAAGCAAACAAAAGCCATCGTTACCTAGTGGTAAGGTTCATGGCCACTATTTATTCATTGCTTGTTATATACCAGGCACTGCACCAAGCATTTCAATCACTGTGAGTCGTTCTCAGATTTGTGTTTCAGATGTGTGACTCTGTTGACGGTGGGGAAGATGTATGGAAGGGGGCAAGACTGGAGGGGAGAGATTAGTTGCATTAGTTAGGAAATAGGACAAGGTGGTTGGATGTGAGGATGGAGAAAGGGAGACAAATTAGAGAGATATTAATGGGCCAAAGTCGGCAGGGCTGGGAACGTGAGAGAGGAATCTGGGGTGGCTGCTGGCGTGGCTTGGATGAATGTTGCATGAAAGGATTATTATTTGGGAGATTATAGGAAGACTGAATGTTTTACATGCATTCCCCTGGGTAAACATCTCTCTGATACACTTTTGTTGAGTTAAAAGACAGACATGGGTTTGAATCCTGAATCCCATCACATCTTGGTGCTGTGATATTGGGCCGTGCCAGTCACTTGCAGTTGAACGCTCACATCCCTTCTACAGCATGAGTTTTCTCTACCATAAAGCAGGGCAGTCCTACTCTGAAGGAGCAGTATAACTAGAGACAGGGCCGAGGACCTGGCACATGGCGAGCCTTTAACAAATGGGGCTGTTATCACCACAGTGGAATTTCTTTCAGCACCCGACACCACTGCCGCCAGCGCAGGTTTGGTGATGTACGTGTTGTAGTGTTTCAAGTAGAAGGAAATATGGCGCCCTGGATTTAAAAGGTGGAGCAGAATGAATGTGATCTCCGTAGAAATACGAGGAAAGAAGGAATTTTGATTTGTCTTCTTTAGTAATACAGAGCTAGCATTTTCCAAAAGCTATCTTTGTGCCGTGTTTTGGGGAAAGTTCTGGATGTGTCTGGGAGTGCTGCAAGGTATTAATATCATTCCTGACCAGATGGCATACACATGTATGTGGGCAGCCTTCATATGTATAGTTGTTACATGTATGGTTTTCATTTTAGGACCCCAAGTCAAATTTGATCCAACAGTGGTTGTCACAACAAAGTGATCTTGGAGTCGTTTCCAAAACTTTTCAGTTGTCTTCCCATCCAATACTTGGTGACTGGTCCATTCAAGTTCAAGTGAATGTGAGTATAAATATATTTTTTTGGGAGGGGGGGAAATGTTAAAATGATTTTAATAGGTCAGTTGTGGAAATATTTCCAAAGTCATTTATTCAATGAGCAGAAAGAAAATAATAATGCTATGAGCATCTAGGCAATTTAAGTGGTTTATTTTTAATTTACTATGCTTATTTAATGGGTTATAATTATAATAGAGTTTTAATCGTCTTTTTCTGTGATATGTGTGAAGATGAAAACATTTTGACATTTTAGTATAAAACTGATTAAATAAATAAATATTTACTTATTTATCGCATGCATTAAACTTTACTCTCCGCAGTATTCATCTTCCCCGATTGTTCTTCCTCGTCTGGATACTATCCAAAAAAATATACCATCTCCACCCTAAAGTAAACATATATACCAGTTAAGTGAATAGTGCTTGTAAAAATAGCTTCTACTCTAGAACAGCCAGCTTTTATTACTTATATTTCTCTGTGACAAGACCCCTCTCTTTTTGTTCTGGGCTTTGTCTGTGCATTCTGGGACCACTTTAAGCAGCATCTCCAGTCTCCTGCTCCTCTACCCACTAGCTGTAAATAGCGTTCTCCATCCCCTCAAGTTTGTACATGCAAAAGTGTCTCCAGCACATGCCTGCGAACCATCCATCTGCAGGGAAATACCTCCCCCTGCTCTGTGGAGAGCCACTGTATATTAGACAGTATAGTCATGTATTAGCATAAGACCTGAGGTGAGATAAAGTACCCAGTACTTAATGTGTGCTCTGCATTTTACTTGCATTGCCACAACAGTCCTGAAAAAACAGGTTTTATTAAACTCAATTTCTAGATGAGGAAGCTGAAGCTTGGAGAATTTTACCACCTGCCAAGGGGTGTAGAGCTGGAAAGCAAAAGAAGCAAGATTTGAACTCAGGTCTCTGATGGCAACAGCAGCTTCACCTGACCCAGGCCC